ATGAGTGTTTCTGCAGGGCAGTAACCTGATGAAGTGATAATGACTGTCGGGGAAAAGGAGACAGTGAAAACAGAAAGTACAGAAAACAAACATTGGTGTCACTGAGATGCAGTTTCACCATTAACAAATAAATAATGATGATGAACGCATAGTGATCTGAAATGATAGAAAATAATGAAATGGCGGCATCTTCAGACACTAAAATAAAAGTAAATAATGGTCAGAATTAAAAAAAGACTTACTAATAAAAAACACTAAGAATGGTGCTACATCATCAAAATGATTTCCAATAGCGTCTACTTTACTGTTTTTTCAATCACTGCTAAGCTACAATAAATATTGTTACTACTAAAGACTTCCTGCAGATGTTTCACATTAAAAGCATTATGGCCTTTGAGCCTGGCTTTAGGCTTTTATTGTGAAACAGCTTTTCTTGAGTGTTGAGGGATCAGAAATTTGCTACACTTGAAAATCTCCTCAATCCTTCGAGCCAAACATTTCCTTGTGATTCTTTTCTGTCAGTGGTGCTCCACTGGAGGTATCCCCCTAGCACCATGGTCCATGGTCAAATTAGCAATGATCAGTCCTTCCTGGAAGTGTTGCAATCACAATAATTAACTAACACAAATTCAACCAATCCCAGTGAATTCTTTTGCAATGTTGTACAATTTTGCCCACCTCTTTTTATCTGCAAATTTGACCAATCATAGCAGTCCAAAGAACGTTGAGCCATCAGTCACCAAACTGTGTGTGAAATAGTGTTATTTCTGGACAGGTGGGGCTCTGCAGTTTAAATTCAATTAGTTAAATTACTTATATAACAAATATGCAACGTCTGGTTAGACTTTGAAAATAAAGCTTGCGGTTGCAGGTTTAACCACAAAAACTACTTGGTTAGGATTAGGAAAAGATCCAACGTTATGTTATGTAACTTTGGGCCTCACACAGGGCACCATATTTGGGCCATCCACCCCACCTGCTCCATGTGCTTTCTCATTCTTTATACTACGTCACCTGACTGACAGTAGAAGGAAAACTACAGCGTTATATTTTTGGGCAGCAGGCCACTGCCCAAGCTGCAGTATCTGATTTGGGAGTGAGACTGAATTGTTTTAGCATAAATTTCCCTCAAACACAACATCAGCTTTTTCCTTCCAGCAGAGAGTCGCTGAAACCAGCTGTGCTCTTTGATAAACCTCTGAAAACCTGCCAAGATGTTTTCTGTTTCAGCAGTTTATACGCTGATGGCTATTTGAATGTTAAATGCAAAATGCTACCCTTCTCTCAGTGATCATTACGGGGTCGGAGCTGGCCCGTTTCTCTGGACAATGATTTGATTGGAGCAGATTGGATTTGCCGCCGCGGCTGCAGCCCATCGCTCTCTGTGGTTAATGGTGCCTTTCTAAAGGCTTTATTAGAAGTAATTTGCTGCAGCGAGCGCTGACTGATATCTGGGCCATGACCCTGTCTCTCAGCTGAAGGGTAAAGAGGGAGTCCCAGTCACACTAGAAATGGCAGGCCCTGCACTCTGTCCATACATTAGAGTCTTTACGCTCAGTGCTGAATACATTGAAGAGTGCTGATTGTGGACGAACAGGAAGAGTGAAATGACAGTGGGTCAGAAATGTCTCTGGATGTGACTGCTGTGGACTTTTGATTGATCAAGTATTTCAGCATTATTAAGTAAGTAACTATTAAGTAACTTTCATTAAACCGTTGTTGATAGTGACCCCAGTGGTTGTTAACTGACGTTTTCCTTTTGGTTTTCCATTTTTAATTTAAAACAAAAAAGAAAAACAGAAAATTACCTGTTTTCTTTTTCTTTTTAAAATAAAAACAAAAAACAACACATACTGTTTTTTTCTTCACACAAAACAGCTTGTTTCTCAATTTTGGTTTGGTATCTGTTGGTTGTGAAGTACACTGACTGTTCACTCACTGCTGATGAAAAGTAAAAATGTCCCATGAGTCATACAAACTAAAACTAAATTGCAGATCTTCAGACTGTGTTGAACTGGTGGAGACACTCTCAACTCAAGACAGCACACGGACTGTAATATACACGGCTAGCATTAGCATCACTTCATGTAGCTTAAACATTAGTTGTGTAACTTTTGTGTATCCATGATGTTTCAGTGATTTTTGGAATTAATTTTTTACTTTTATGTGATTTACATCAGTGAGGGAACTTTATCAATGGAGGTTTCAGATTTCAGGATTTGGATTTGGCTTCACTCGGACTCATTTTCACCTCTTTGTCCTCATTATTATTCATTTGCTAATTAGAAGTCGGTGACACTGAACATTAACATACAAATGACACCAGAGGCGAGGCCAGTTGGTTCAGTTCACTCCGCATTAGCGTGTGACGTCTTTGTCCTTTTTGGCAGGTCAGTCCGGGAACATCACAACCTTCCGCAATTCACTGTTTCATTATGAACTGCCTGGGCATGAAGGCTTCCAGTAAAAGTAGTCCGGAGTGGGCGGTTTGGGTGGTTTAGAGACCTGATCAGGGACTGACGCAGGTAGCAGCAGTCTGTAGGCAGGAGCAGATAATGGAGGGTAAATAAACTGTTATAAAGTTGGATGATGGAGCACAGATTATCAGCATCTTCAGTGTTTCCATAGATACGGAGCGTGCCTCGTGAGGATGCTGCTATATACAGTATGTCATGCATATTCATTATGAATTATAAAATGGCCTGCACACAGAACGTGTGAAGTATTCAGCACAGCACAGTGTGGCTGATACAATATTTACAGCTTAAAAGTGATGTGTGGCGGTGCAGATGAGCTCAGTATGGAGACGTCTGCATAGTGGTTCCAGTACTTTCATCCAAATATATTTATAATCTTTACAAATATCTCAGTTTCTGGAGAGATTGGGATGAAATTTGATCGCCTGATGTTTTATTTAACATCTTCATGATCTCAAAAACATAAACTTGACCTCCCGTTTTAACGTTTTAAAGCTTAAATATTAAATCTGACGTCATACGGAGTTCATGAAAGTGTAGTTTCACATCTGTGCCACTCACATAGAAGCAGCGATAACATAATGACGTTAACTTATGTAACATACTCACATCGGGTATGTAACTTATGACTAAACCGTTTTTGTGCCTAAACCTAACCCAACTGCAACCACACAAGCTTTATTTTGAAAGTCTAAGTGGATGTTGCAGATGTATTAATGCTGACCGGAAGTTGTGGACATTGTGTATTTATTGTTGCTAATCTGTGTGTCTATAGATGACATTAGCGTTGGTACCTACAGCGCCATATTTTAAAGCAAATGGCAGTTACTACTGCTTTTGTTTTTTAAGCTATGCTAACGGTTTGAGCTACTGGACACCTGAATTTCCCGAAGGGGGATTAATAAAGTATCTATGTAGTTGATGAACTGGGAGGGAGAACGTGTTGTTCATTGATCAATTTTAGTCCTTTTCTGAAAGATCTTTCACAATTTGATAGCACATCATTGGAACTGAATCCAGATAGCAGCAAGTAAAACATTTAATTCACCACATATGAGATCAAATGTGAATCAGAAGCTTTTTATGTGAGTAAAAATCTCTATTCTCTTATATGTTTCTGTGTTTTAACCTATCAGCAACCTGATTCCTTGTGTTTCTATGAGCGCTGAAAGGCTCATTTCTGTTGCACGACAGCCGCCTTCATGAACTATATTCTTGTGCGAGCGTTGCATGTCGCTCTGTGAACCGTGAGCACAGAAATACGGCGTCTGCTCGGCCGTACGGGTGAAGCGAAGCAGGATGACGCGACTCCCTAGACAGGGACGCTTCATCTGCTCCCTGCTGTCATCAGAGCCGGTATACGGACTCATTAAAGAGGAAGTGAAATAAAACCAATTCTGAAATCTCCGGCATGCAGAGATCAGCAGCAATGTCAGCTCTGTGAAGTGAAGGAGATATCTGTAATCATTTATCAGAGGTCTGTTGAGAGGGGGGGACTCCCTGGAAACGGGGTGTCTTTGAAGAATAAATGTTTACAGACTTCCATCGGGGACTGCTGCCATCCTCCATCAACATTTTTAATGCGGATGGAATTCGTGGAACGTCCCAAAAACACATTTAAAAGAAGCTGGAACGCCGCGTGGCTGAAACGAGCATGAAGTTATTATTCTTCTTTATGGGCTTTTAAAGAAGGGACATCCTGAGAACCATTTGAGATTGATCAGGAACACGTGTCTCTTTTATCCTCCGCTGCTCATAAAGCCCCTAAACACTCGGCACCCGGACTGCTGCAATTTGCACTGAAATTGTTGCAACTCAGTCGAATCTAAACACACAAACATTATACTCATATTTTAAGACTTTTATCTTTAATCACTTCCCGAGGAGGTCATTATCTCTGAGGCCGTAAAGGATAAATTCCCATAAATCCACTTAGAAAGCAGGAATAAAGACGTTTTTTATATCTGCAGAACTTGCCTTAGAATTAGCAGGTTTTTAAGTTTTCTTCGGTACCAAAGTAATTCGGGGATAGTTATCTGTACGTTAAAGAGTTCACTGCAAACAGGAAGTCCTAGCAGCTAATCCGGCTACTTTTATTGGTGACAATTTGGCAAAATGAAAACAAACCAACTCTGAACCAGCACTAGCACCAGAACCTGTTAGCTTTAGCCTCAGTCCGTCCATTTTTACAGTGCAGTGTGGGAAGAGCAGTGATTGTTAAGGTGGAACTGCTTTATTCAGTGTGTTTAGTGGTTTTAATCAGCGGGTCTGTTTGTGTTGGAGAGGAGGAGACCTCTGTGGATCATTGGGCTCCCGGTAGAAACCTCCTGAACGGTAAACAACAACTCCCATGATCCTGCGCTGCGTCACCACGTCACCAAATTTCCTCTTTTGTTATTGTTTTGATGTGAGAGAGCCCCTAATGGCAGAATTGATTCCTTTTTGTGCAGCACTTTGTTAACAAAGGTTAAATAAAGTTAACTATAAATATATGCAGAATAACAGATGAAAGCTTGACACTGATGAACTCCCTCCGTTTACTGGAGGCACTAACACGACTTACAGGAACTGGAATCATCAGAAGAATCTGATTGGACAGTATTGGTAGTATTTGGTATTTTTCAGCATCCAGCTCTCCACTGTGTGTGTCCATGAATGCGTCTTCACGTGTCCAACTCAGCATTTCTCAGCAGGCCTATGCAAATATGAGCCTGTGTGTGTGTGTGTGTGTGTGTGTGTGTGTGTGTGTGGAATGATTCAGAGATGTCAAGTGAGCTCATGAATAATAAACAGGACACGCATTCGGCTGTGAATATTTCATGGTGCATGAAAGTGAGCAGAAACACTCGGTGGAGTTTGGCATCGTCCAGTCGGCTGTCAGAAAGGAGGACCAGGAAGGAAAGATGGACGACTGAGGACAGCGAGATCAGGTCCTGTGTTGTGGGTGTGGGGCATTGTGGGAGTTTTAGATCATCATTTTTATCAAAAACTGGGACAGAGAAACAGAGATTTTTAAGGTGGAACTGCTGTATTCAGTGATTTTACTGGTTTTAACTGACACGTTGACTCGTTAGCAACCGCCTTCTTTAAGACACTAAAAGCTTCAAAAAACATTTAAATAATCAGAAATTTCCTCCAGAGAAGAAGAAGAGGAGGAGGAGGAAGGTCCAGTCGATCTGAAGGAAGAACAGCAGTGTGGCCTGTCGACAGCTTCTGCAGAGAGAGAGAGAGAGAGAGAGAGAACAGATCACAGATGAGAAAGTCTTTAAGTGTGTGACGGGACATTACATCCCCAAACACACACACACACACACACACACACACACATTCATGGAAAGTTGAGCATAAAAACATGAAGACGGCAGCTGAGCGGACAGAGACAGTTACTGCAGACGGTACACAGCTTGGAGGTGTTTGTGTCTGTTTAGATTCCCAGTAACTGTCGGCTGTGGGCCATTAAACACACCACTCTTACCTGGATAAAGACTGTGTGAGCGATGGCAGCGGCTCCGCCAGCGTCCTGTCGTACTTACAGTACTTTACGACTGTTCATATCAGATAATCATTATTTAACCGCTCATACGAACCATTAAAAATGGACGTAGTCTTTAGTCTGAGGAGCCGTAATCCTGTGACGGCACCTGTGACCACGCCCTTAATTAGGCGTAACTTTAATTCTTAATATGATTTAAACAGGTGAGTTGTATATAAAGTCACCCTCGTACAGTCGTCCAGAGGCTGTAAACATATTTATTTCTGCTGTACAGTCTTATGGAGACTGACACCATGTTCACCATCTCGGTTTAACGTGTTAGCATGCTAATCTTTTGCTAACAGCTTGTCTGTACTCACGTGAGGAAAGAAAAAAATCACAACCCATGTTGGATGTGAGGAAGTCGTTCTAGGGCTCTCTTCAAACCCACCAGACTCTTTTATGGGAGCTGTTGCTCTACCGCTGCCTCCATCAGTTAGTAGGTTGGTGTTGTTGTGTGACTTTGGTGTTTTAACAGATGAAGGCGGCTGTAGACCAACAACTTCTGTGTTCTGTGAGGTAAAATTACTGTTTTTTTCAATGGAGTCTGGTGGGTTGAAAAGCGCGTAGCTCTTAAAGGTAAAGTGGTGAAAATACTCTAAATGTAGTGTACAGTCAAACTAGGCGACGTAGAGCTGCTCCACAGAAGAACTCGCTAATGTTTTTCAGTTTCTTGTATTTTCCCTCGTGAACAATAACTGTTTGTCCTTAATAAAAGCTCCTTGTGGTTTCTCGATCTCAGCGACCGTAAACGACGGAAAACAGGCATTTTAGAGTTTGTCGCAGTGCTTCCAATGTATAAAATCACTTCCTGCCCTCCGTCTGCAACCCGCGCCACAGGAAGTAAACACAAAGTGCAGCTGAGGCTGATGGGAATGTCATTAGTTCTGCAGGTTTTTGCTCATAAACCAAAGTATTGCACCCATTTCATCACAATCCATGCAGCAGTTGTTGAGATATTTCAGTCTGTGGGACAATAACAGAGCCGCTAAGCTAACGTGGCTAAACGTTCAAGATAAATCTTTCTTAAAATAAACTGCAGTGTGAAGCCTCAGCTTGTCATAAGCCTTCATCCACAATCCCCCTCCGTATCGTCGGGACCTAATTCTGCCTGCAGGATGTGTGTGCGCTGTTCGTCTGAGCATCTGAACACAGAGGACGTTTGATCCGGTTCTTCTTCAGGAAGGTCTGACCTGGAGGTTATATACATATAACAGTCTTCCATATTCGTGTATTATAAAGACGTTTCTGTACAAACCTTGGGCGGCGTTGACGCGGTGCCAGAGATACAGTCTGCTGTGAGCCCTGCAGCCACAGCAAACATGTTTACCAACTGCAACTTTTGTCCAATCATCACATTTATAATTAAGATCCATCGTCCCCCGCTGAAGGAAAACACACATTTTGGGGGTTCAAGCGGAAGCTGAACTACATGCCGTTGTGTGTTAATGAAAAATCCCCGATATGATTGCGTCTCAATTAAAGCAGGATGTGTTGTGGGAGCTCAGCTGGTGTCAGATGTGAGTAATGGTGATTACTGCAGAGCGCAGTGGGCTGACGGGGAGGGCGTGACGCGTCCTGCATACCAAACAATCCCACTTCAAAGACTGTGGGAAAGATCCAGGCTACAGATAAAGGTTCTACGTAGGAACGCTTTCTGGTTCTGTGAGAGGTTTTTAAAGTCAGACTGCAGTTTAAACACTTTCTGTGTGAGGAGATAAGGTCTAAAATAACTCAGCAGGTATTGTGTATGCTTTAGTTTTAGTTCTTTTAGAGGACACATTTGCTGATGTCTCATCTTTGATCCTCTTGTGGCACTCCTAAGCCCCGCCCCTTTTGCCCTGTGCTCCAATCAAAGTTGAGCAACTTCCTCCTTTCCTGTACTTAGATATGCTACGTGCTAAGCTAATCTATGCAGAAAAGACAACCACATTTTGAAGATGGTTAAAAGATATAAGTGACCTAAAGTCACATCCTAAGTTAGCTAATGTTAGCAACACGCTAGCTAAGTACCTGATGATTGCTGTATATTAGTTTGTTAGTTAGCTATCGTTTTGCTGAGCTGTCCGATGTAACTCAACTGCTATTGGAGCACAGAGCAAAAAGGGGCGGGGCTTAGGATGGGTCAGTTCATCCAGAGGGGACCATGAATGTCTGAACTAAATATCAAATGAATCCACTGAAGAGTTGTTGAGATGGTTCAGTCTGGATTCTAAAAGTTTTGTGTGTAAATTTGGATAAAAACCAGCTGATTTATTCGCTGCAGTCTCGGATCAATACAACGATCGCAGACCGGACCCCCGCCTGACCTCCGCTGCAGTAATGATGGACTGGATTCTGGCCTGTCAGGCAGAAATGAGGGGAATTGGGCCCTCTGATGTTTTCCATGTGGAGAGCTGGTAAATGAGCCGGATGCCAACCGTCTAACAGCACACACACAGTGACAGTGTGTGTGTGCAGCGATTAGAAACTGCTGCTGAAAGTTGAATCAACGTGTGTGTTTTAAGCAGCTTTCTCTGCTGGAAACGGAGCCTTGGATCGTAACTTCGCCTCTTAATTACCTCAAGATTTCTCAGGTTTTGCGTCAGCTCTGGGCTCGATGATTCATCGCAGCTCTCAGGGATTTATTTCTGGATTTCACCATCATTTTAACTTCCTCTTCTTTATCCTGCCGCAGGTGGATCTGACTGGATGAACCCGTCTGTTCGCCCGTCCGTCCGTCCCTGCAGCAGCCAGAGGAAGGATCTGATGAGAGGTCTGCAGAGAGAGGAGAGAAGAGACGACCTGCTATGGCCAGCGGTACAAAGTTATCCTCCAGAAACATGTTGGTGTCCGTGTCCTCTGTCATGTTTCCTGCGCTGTCTCTGATGTCTGTGTGTCCCTGCAGCAGCTGACGGTGTAGGCAGTCTGGGAGCTGAGCAGAACCACCTGAGCCTCCCTGTCACTGATCATGGAGCCTGGGCCACGGCCATGAACAACCTGGGCATCATGCCAGTGGGCATCAGTGGGCAGCAGCTGGTTTCAGGTACGTGTGTTTATGTCATTTTAACCCTTTAAGATCTCATCCTCAGTTATATTGTTTCTCTGTATAACAATTTATGCTGAAAACATAAAAGAAAACTCAGTTTATTATATTATATTTTATATGTTACCAACAGTTATATTAGCTACCAATAGCAAGTTAGCTTGTGCTGCTAACATTAGTTGTTGTTGATTGATTAAGTCGAAACATGGACATTTTAGTGTAGAGTATTTGAATTTTACATAAAAATGCATTGCGACTGACAGTGGCCTGCTACGTAGCTGTTAGCCTGATAGAGTTAGCCTCTCTGAGCTGCTAGCTTAGCTAACGTTACAACACAGGAAGCACGCAGAGACTTTTACATACGCTGTGAATGTGCTTCTAGTGACCGTAACAGAGACTCACCCACCTGCACAGGTAGACTCACCTCCCCTAGAGACGTTAGTCTGTAAAACGTTATCTGAGCATCGTTCCTCTGCAGGAACAGACAGAAACAGAGGCGAGGATGAGGACGACAGGAGAGGAAGCAGTGTCCTGATCTCACATCAGTGTCTGTTATCTGACACTGAGATCATCTGTTTCTGGCTCTGAGTGTCTGCTGCTCTCACTCAGAGACAGAGGACGAGCAAAATTAAAATTCACCAGAGTTCATGCATATTTATGGAGCTAGCAATAAGTGAAGATTTCAGTCATTCGCAGTTACACTTTAGGCTCTTTAGTTTCAAACAGACACTTTTAGGTTTTGACCTAATAGATTCTTTCCTGGAAACACTTAGAGCTTTTTATGCAGTCACATCTATAAGTGTGTTTGGCTCTAATGAAAAATGATGGAAACTGATTGTCTACAGTGTCTAGAGTAGAAAAGCTTTTAAATCAGCTTTTAGACAACAGGACAGAAATATGTAGATCACTGAAAGAGAGGATATTACCACCACTACTACTAAAATAAAATGAAAATACAGAATATCATATCATGGCTATAATAGTAGGCCCAGTATTAGTGATGAGACTATCAGCAGTAACAGTTGTTATTGGCAGTTTTATTGTATTATTATTATTGTAGTATAAATAGATTACTATAAATAGTATGTGTTGCAGCAGCAGTAGGACTAGCAGCTGTAGTAGTGACAGTGTTTGTAGTGACAGAAGTAATATCTCTGGACTAAACCAGCTAACTGTACAGATTCAGTATTTATTCTGTATTTTCTGTTACTACATGAAGCTGTGAGTTAAAGGCCTGAGTGCTTCTTCCAGAGATTTTCCCAGACGTATCAAACTGTGACACTTTGCTAAAAAGGGGCAGGGCTGGAAGAGAAACTGGAGCATCTGGATGCAATAAATACCTCTGTTTTGTTCTCATTTCTTGATATCTAAACCATATAACCCGGCGCTGGCCCGTGCAGCCTAATGTAAACGAGAAGTCCCTGAGTGAACTGAAATCCTAGAGCTTTATCTGTCCCTCGGCAGTGTGTACAGTCCTGTATGGCTGTACTCCAAACACACCGGCCTCAGAAACTACACTAAGCTCCGCGTGTATCCACTCAATTTCATTTTCGGTTTCACGTTGGAATCTATTTATGAAATTGTTTTTGTGAGACGCTGGGATTTGTCTGAGCTTCGTGGTTGTGCGTCTTTCCACCATATAAAAGGCCCGGGGGGTTTGTCATTGTATAAGTGCTGCATTGTGGGGGTTTTATTAAATGAGATTTGTTGAGTTTTTTTGTGTTAAGCCCAGAATAATTGAATGCATGGATTTAACTGAGAGAAGCTGAAATGAGGAGAGAGGAGCTGTTGTAAGGAGGGACAGACAGCAACTTAGCAACCTAATTCCTCTGGACCGGAGTGGAAATATTAAAATGATGACATGATATTATTGCAGTGATGATGTGATGCTGATTAGACTCCACCTCTGGCAGCGACTGCAGCTCTCCTCCCCTCTTTAAAGCACATGTGGGAACATTTAGATGATGAAAAGCTGGAAAAGAAAGAGGACAAGTGAATCTGATATGTGTGTTAAAGGGTCAGTTTACTGAAAATCACAAAAACACATGTTTCCACTTTCCTTGAGGAGCCAGTTTGCACTTTTTTAAACCCTTGATAGAAAGAAGTTAAATATATACGATATTCACTGCCTCTACATGTCTGGAGCACCAGCTACTGCCCACCAGACTCCATTGACAAAATCAGTCCTTTTACATTGCAGATAATTGTAAAAAAAAACAACAAAAACACTTTAAACTGGACAGAAACAACATCAAACTCAGCAAAACCACCTTTGTTAGTCTTTCCAACACAGATTCTGGTATAGTCGAAATAAACCCTTAATTCTCTGAGTTAGATGTGAAATATTCATTAATCGGGCTGTAATGACGGCAGCATTAGCTTATCCCTTTTTCCTTTAATTTAAAACTTTAAAGTTTACATATGTCCAATTTACTTGCCACTAGATGTCGCTCTAGACCACCAGCATCTCAGACCAAAACAACTGGCATTGCAGCCAACCAGACTCCACTGACAAAACCACTCATTTTAAATAGAAAAAAAAATTAATAATAATAGTAATACAATACAACTAGCTTAAAGTTGTACTTTTGTAAATGCACTCATCTCTGCTATCACTCTCCACCAGACTCCATAGACAAAAATGGTAATTTAACCTTGCAGAGCATCGTAACATCGTAACTTCATTCAAAGTGGACAGAACCAGAATAAAACTCATTAAAAGCGTCTCTGTTAGTGTTTCCAACAATCACCAACTCTGGTTTGGTGGAAATAAATCCTTAATTCACCGACGTAGATGATAACAACAGCAGTTTCAGTCGGAGCAGACCGGCTATGGAAACAAACCACAGAGAGGCTGCGATACAACACAGGCAGAGGGAGAGAGACACCATGTGACTCTGTATCTTTATATAGAGAATAGCTGTTAGCTGATTTATTATTTATGATCTCATATATATTATAACTCATACGAGTTGAACGTGAGGCGATTCCAGGGTTGGGTTTAGGATTAGCTGTCTGGGTGCGTCGTTACTGATGAGATCTCACCTTGAGAATAATTACAGCCAGATGTGATGCAGCTCGCCTCTTGGTGGTTCTGGTGGAAAAACAGTCATAAAATAATCACGATTAAAGGCATAAATACAGAGCCTCTCTCTCCCTTTCTTGGCTCTGGGTATCATTTTTCTCCCTGTGTGTTTTTTCTCTCCTCTGTATTTCTTCCTCTGTTTGTCTTTTTGGCTGCGGCAGCGCAGCTCGGAGCCAGAGAAATGAACCTGGCTCGAATCGTTTTGGCTCTGGGAGAAAAAGCTGCGAGCACAAGCAGCCTTATGTGATTATGATGAATGTGTGGCACCAAGATGTGTGATTTACCTGTCGAGGTTATCGCAGACAGCGCTTTAATGAGTTTTGCTAAGACCTGAAGAGTCCCTGAATGCACCGCGGCTGCACATGCTCAGATTTATATCTGTTTTCCTTTTTAAAAGCCTAAAGATCTCTAATGATGAATGTGTAGGAAGTGTTTCACAGCTCTTTAGCTTACAGCGCACTAATGCTGGTAGAAAATGAGATTATGTTTGGAATTATTGGGATTGTGCCGTCCAAAGAATGCCTGCTTAAAAGCCCTTTATATTAAAAAAAAAATGTGTTTATTTATAAGGATTCTACAGTAGGGAGCTTTGTGTGCTGATGTTTGAAGACAAAACTCCCATCATGGAGTCTCAGTGACAGCAGGGACTGGGGAGGGACGATACTGATAGAGATCAGATCATATGGAGGTGGATTTCTTTTAAGTACCTTACGTAAATTATTTTGAATTTTATTAATCTACTTAAGTTACATTAGGTACATAAATCCTCATCCTAAAGCTAACCAAACTGCAACCGTGATACAATGTTAATTAAGCGAGCTGATGCTAACTAGACCCTGTGTGTCCAGAGGAATACATACAGTGGGTTATTACTTATAGTATTTGATGAGTTGGGAGTGAGAACAGATTGACCACCCGACTGAATCCACAGATCTCCCTGTTTCCATTGGAACTTCTGTGTTTTTTAAAGGAATGAATGCTTTAAGAAACACATATGAAATTCTGGTCACCTCCAGAGTTTGATATCTTAAAGCCTTGTCAGTAGAGGTCTGTAACGATATCATCCCTCAGCGGTGGAAAAACACAAAGCAAGGACGAAGTGAGGGCACGCTGCCAGGCACGAATACAATCTACAAGATAAAAATATATCCCCGTTGGTCCTCAGGTTCTCTTCTCTTTGTCCCAAGCAAACGGGGAATGTAAAACACTTCCTGTGTGCTGATGATTGTTTCAGGTGTTTGGACCGGCAGGAGTAAAAAGCTTTCACAGTGAATCAATGCTGCGCTCCATCAATCCTCCACACCCAGCTGCAAGAGAAACATTTCTTTCTGTTGGATTACTATAAGGGACATTTGTCCTTTCTGTGTGTGACAGCTCCCCTCGCCTGTAATTTGAATCACTTTATTGTCGTGGCTGTTGTGGCTGTGTGGGCTTTTCTGCTGACGTTTTCTTCCTCCTGCTCCCTTGTTATTGCAGTGTTGAAGATAGGAACATGCGACGCTGCACCTCCCTCCTCCTCCTCCTCCCTGCCCGCTCTATTTTCACCCCGACAGCTGAAACATTGCTCCTGTCGCCTCAGTCCTCTCGCTGTTTATCTTCTCTCCTCTTCCTCACTTCCTCTTTGTCCCGCTCTCTCTTCTTCTACCTTTCATTAACTCGAGATGGTATTTTCTTGTCTCTCCCCGCAGATCTCGTCCCCATTTTTATTTCTCTTATCTGTTTCCTTCCAGATAGCGATGCTTTGTTTCTCTCCTTTTTACTGCATTTTTAAATATTACACCAGTTTCCTCATCCTGTTTGTGGCCTTTCTGTAGTTTTACACCAATTTCCTAACAAGTGTTGCCATCGGTTCTTTAATTGGAATAAAAAAAGGTGTCAGTGCTCTTAACCAGCCATTTGGGGACACAATTTGTACAAAATAATGATTAATTTTAGGGTACAATTAGGAAATATCAAACATTAATCATAGTCAATGTGTATTTAATTACCTGTCGGGCACTGTAGAGGATTTCAGAGGTGTTAGCAGAAATGAACTATACCACATATTTTACCTCACAGCTGCCTCTTCTCTCACAGTTTATTTATTATACTTTTAATAAATACATCATTAGTGTAAAAAGTACTCAGATCTTTTACTTAAGGGTGATATATTCACCACCAATAGGTGTCGCACTAGAGCACCAGCATCTCCGACCAAAACAACCTGTGCAATGACGGACCAGACTCCATTCACAAAACCGGTAATTTTACAGAGCAGATAGTTAACACGCTTCAAAGTGGACAGAAACAGAATAAAACTCACCAAAACTGTCTTTTAGTGTTCCCAACAATCACCAACTCTGGTTTGGTGGAAATAAATCCTTAATTCACCGACATAAACAGGCTGCTATGGCCGCACAGTAAGCTACATTATGTAAGGTTGTAGCTTAGTGTTTGTTTTGTCCACTGACAGACTCAGGTTGTTATTGTCAGTGTCTGACAGCATTATGGAAAGGATCCCTGCAGAGATAGACCTTTAGTTTAACCACAAACAGCCGTAATATCACTATCACTCTCCACCAGACTCCAGAGACAGAAACACTCATTTTACCTTCAGATCATCTTAACTTCATTCAAAGTGGACAAAAACAAAAATACAAGTAGTACAAAGTGGCATAAAATTATTATAATAATCATGTAAATTTACTTAATTTTGTATTTTATTGTCGTTGATTATCTGGAACCAATAGCCTATTTTAATAAAACATAATTTAGAAACTGAGTTTGAGAATGTGTGTAAGCACCAGTTCATTGGGTAGGATTCTGTGTTAGAGACGAGTTTGTTCACTCAGCAGCTCCAGCTTTACTTTGTGGCGTCCGTCTGTCCTGCAGACTCTCTGTGCATCCAGAGGTTCGACCCCGGGCTGGGCCTCATCGCACCCATAAACCCCATGATGGCGGGCATCAGCCTGGTCCCTCCACCACCCGTCCCCCCCGACATGCCGGTCATCAAGGAGATTATCCACTGCAAGAGCTGCACCCTGTTCCCCCAGAACCCCAGTAAGATCTGCCTCTGTGTACAGTCGCTGTCCGGTTCTGTGCTGCTGACGTTGGTGATACGCAGACACAAAATAGTTCCTGCAGAATCTTTTCTTTGTCCTTCAGATCTGCCCCCGCCTTCGACGCGGGAGCGCCCACCCGGCTGTAAGACGGTGTTTGTTGGAGGTTTGCCGGAGAACGCCACCGAGGAAATCATCAGGGAAGTGTTTGACCAGTGCGGGGAGATCATCGCCATCCGCAAGAGCAAGAAGAACTTCTGCCACATCCGCTTCAGCGAGGAGTTCATGGTGGACAAGGCTATTTACCTGTCAGGTGAGCACACACACTGCTGACTCTTTGTTTCAAAGGATGTTGTTCTTCTGTGTTTCTGTGGGTCAAATCTACCCACAATGCAACTCGACTGCCAACATTTAGCAGAGTAATCGACTCCACAAACATCAGTCACAATATTATGTGGTGCTTCTACATACTTTCCAACAGCATATTTAGCTAACTAGCGAGCTAACGACTGATGTGACTATATATATGTGTCTGTTATCTTTAAACCATCTTCACAATGTGGCTGTATTTTAAATATCGATTAGCCTAGCATATAGCATATAATGGTGCTATCCATTTGTCTCGTGAACTCGGAGCCGAGTTGCTCTGCCGCAAGAACGTGACGTCATTGCCTGGCTTGTACCACTTATAGCGTTCCATTTGTCTTTGGGCATTACGAGTCGGAAAGAAGTGCAGCAGCTGTGTTGTTATTGATTGTGGATCATCTAAACAAGCTCAATGTGAAATAATAATGTTTTTCTACACAAACATTTCAAGTAATTCCGTTATTGCAAGTCTTACAGTTCAATAATATTTTGCCATTTTCGCCTGTTTCAATTTCAACAAGTGCTGTGGCGTTTGTCTCGAGCCACCAGGGGCCACCAGGGGCCTCCAGGGGCCTCCAGTGGCCTCCAGTGGCAGGCTAGTGTTATTGTTACATTAGCCTATTTAGCAAACCAGCTCGAAAACAAAACTTTACATTGTATTGAACTCACAGTAACACTGTGCAATGCATAAACTGCTGACCGGACTAAAGCAGCAATGTAAACAGTGTGTAAGAGCATTTAAAATCGACATTAAAACGACCAATGTAACACAAATACAAAGAAAATACATCTTAATATGGGCGCTGCCATCTTTGTTTTGCGGGTCATACGTGCCCCCCCGTCCAGCTCGGGGTACCCTGAGGGACACCGAGCTGGACGGCTGAAATTCCAACCAAAAGGGGGTGTGTCTCGGTGAAATGTCGCGAGATAGCTGCGAGATTTACCCTTTCCAACTCGGGTTCCGAGTTCACGAGACAAATGGAAAGCACCATAAGTACAGGAAGCAATTGTTTTTACCCAGGATGTTGAAGTCATGATCAGGTGATGACTTCAACATCCTGGGGGATAAAAACACCAGCTCACTGCAGTGTATGTAAACAGATTATGTGCGTAACCTGGTCTCTCTGAGTAACCTGAAGGTTTCTGTAGTGGAACAGGAAGATAACGTTATATAGTTTTCCCTCCTCTCAGGATATCGGATGCGTATCGGATCCAGCACTGATAAAAAGGACTCGGGGAGGATCCACGTGGACTTCGCCCAGGCCAGAGACGACCTGTACGAATGGGAGTGTAAACAGCGTTTACTGGCCAGAGAGGAAAGACACCGCCGCAAGGTCCACGAAGACCGCCTGCGGCCACCGTCTCCTCCGCCCATCGTGCACTACTCTGAACACGAGGCGGCGCTGTTAGCGGAGAGACTGAAAGGTGAGAACGAACCTACACAGAACCTTTAAAGGTTATACAAGAAGTTGGTGATTGTTGGAAAGACATTTTTGGTGAGTTTTAATTAGTTTAATTTAGTTAAGATGCTACGATGCGTGAGGTAAAATGAGTGTTTTTGTCATTGGAGTCCGGTTGGCTGTAGCGCACATTGTTTTGCTGCAGTATCTGCTCTGTAATCACTTGTCCTTTATCCATCCTAACTCAAACTAAAAGCGAGAAATCTTGCAAAATGTCTTTCTGTTATTCTGGATTTTAAGATAGTGCCCCCTGCTGTTGTCAGAATACTGTTAGTTCTCCGTGTGTGGATACAGAACTTGTCTCCAAACAGCTGAGCAAATCTTTGGACAAAGGTTGTTTCCTCAGTCTTTATGCTAAGCTACGCTAACGGACAGAGACAAATGTGATTCAATCTGAACATCAAACAAACACAGGTATTTCCCAGAGAAACACAGTAACGAGCTGGAAGTGAAGGAGATTGAATTACAGTGAGGGCTGAGAGCTTCCTGCTGTCCAACTGGAGCATTTTCAGTGCTGGAGATAAGAATCAGCCACAGCAGAGCAAACAGAGGAGGAGGAGGAGTGACCTTCACACTCCTCCACAACAACATCCCTCATCACTCGTTTCATCCACACCTCTGCCAGATTACTCCCACGTCTCTTTCCACCGAACTGCCTGAGAGCAGGTGGAAGGACACAAAGAAAGAAAAGGTCTCAGAAGAAACCAGATCCCAATTATTCTCTCATTAAATAATTATTCTCTCTGGTGAATGCAAGTGGTCTGTATCAGCTCTGCTCTGAGGATAATACACAACACATATAATAACATAATAACACATATAATAACATAATGACACATATAATAACATAATAACACATATAATAACATAATAACACATATAATAACATAATGACACATATAATGACATGGCACATATAATAACATAATAACAAATATAATGACATAATAACACAAATATAATGACATAATAACACATATAATGACATAATAACACATATAATGACCCGCTGACTCCTGTTTGTTGTCGCAGTGTTTCACTGCTTCACACTCTTGCAGACAAACAGCTGTTTGTATCAGTGTGTTCACCAACCAACATGAAGAATATCAATAATTGTGCAGCTTCCTGAATGATTCATTTGAAGCTGTTATCAGGTATCACTGCAGGTGATCGGCAAACACACACACACACACACACACAAACACACAGTGTATCACTGACCACTGAATCCGCGTTGGGAAGCTGTACGTGATTTCAGACTAATACGTTTGATAAAAGGTATTTTTGTGAGGTTTTTTTTATCCTTGTTGCCAAGACGACGCCTCCTGAAGTACACTAAACTGCTTTTTATATTCTGCTGTCGCATATTTTCTCTTAAATGTAAAACTTTAAAGGTTAAAAATATGACATTCACTAAATTCAGTCATTCAACTAAAGCACCAGCACACAAAACAATGGGGTTTACGGCCCACCAGACTCCAGAGACAAAAACACTCATTTTACCTTCAGATCATCGTAACTTCATTCAAAGTGAACAGAAACAGAATAAAACTCATTGAAAGCGTCTCTGTTAGTGTTTCCAACAATCACCAACTCTGGTTTGGTGGAAATAAATCCTTAATTCACCGACGTAGATGATAAAAACAGCAGTTTCAGTCGGAGCAGACCGGCTATGGAAACAAACCACAGAGAGGCTGCGATACAACACAGGCAGAGGGAGAGAGACACCATGTGACTCTGTGACTGTATATAGAGAATAGCTGTTAGCTGATATATTAATGCTTTAAATCTCATTTATTTAACCTTTAACTTTAGTAATCAGTCCTTTATAACGTTAGCTTGTCTGTCTCTCTCTTATAAACCAGCAGCATGTTGCTTTCATTTATTCGTACTTCAATTTAACCCACAAAACCCAAACCGGAGCCTCTGTGCCGATCCCCCATCCATCCTGTAATGCCGAACATAAACAAGCATGTTTCCTCTCTGAATAACCTTTTTGAATTCATTCTTCACTTCAAACATCAGGGGAAATAAATTTCCATTCTTCCTGCAGTCGTCCCCGTTCAGCCGTGCTCCATTGTGCTCGCTGTAATGTGACTGTAATCTGCTGCTGTGTGTGAATGGGGCTTTATCGCAGCGAAGGGGAAAGTGTCTTCTTACAGGTTGTGTTGCAGCGGGTATTGAGCTCATTAAACGCTCTCTAATTCACTCTGTATTGCCGTCGTTCAATTATTATTCAAATGGAGGGGGAACGCACTCGACAGAGGCCCCGCGGAGATTTCTTATGACGGAGAGCGAACGCAGTTCCCGGTTTTGGTTGAAAAGTTGAAAATCAGAAATGCCTTTTGTGTGCAGCGGCTGTGGCTGGTTCACACAGCCATGAACAGTGAACGCCCCACGAGGAGGATTTTAATCCTCTGTTGTTTGTTGAGGCTGAGTGAATGTTAAAGGTCCCATGAAATGTCTCTCACATCCAACTGTTGAGTCAATATTTGATCTGACAGGAAACAGGAAGTTGTGAGCAGCATTCAGGTCCTTTGGTGAAGTAAAAGTACTTTAAAACAACGTCAGAATACTAAAGTACGAGTAAACGTACAAAGATACCATCAACTACATGTTGTTACAGAGTAAAACATTAGCTAACTAGCTAGCTTATCTATATTAATCATTAGCTAGCTAGTTACATTTGAATGAAAGCTAGGTAATGATTGATGTAGATTAGCTAGCTAGTTAGTTTGCTATCTTAAATATATCTCTTTTCTTTTTACCATCTTCAACATGTGGTTGTCTTTTCAACATAGATTAGCCTAGCATATAGCATATAAGTACAGGAAAGGAGGAAGTTGACCGAGGTTTTAAAGTGGGCGGGGCTTAGGAAGGGTCAATCGTCAGAATCATTGATATTGATCAGAAGAACCCGTGCAGATACATTCCTTCTGTTTCTCACACGTGTGCTTTTTACCCACAGATGACCACAATTTCAGCGAGGCCACGGCGGTGCTGTTCACCTGGATCGACCGCGGCGAGGTCAACCGCCGCACCGCCAATCACTTCTACTCCATGATCCAGTCAGCCAACAGCCACGTTCGGCGGCTGATGGGTGAGAAAGCTCAGCACGACGAGGAGCTGGAGCGCGCCAAGGAACTGTTCAAGAACGCCCTGATGGCCATTTTGACGCAGTGTAAGGACACTTTCTTATTTCAGTGACACGACTTTACAGGCAGACGGGCCACGTGTGCTCCGTAACAACTGTGCAGTTGTTCAGGTAAGTTCATTGACTTCACTCCAAGTATCTCATGTTTCATAAAGCATCATCATTCTGAGGAGGGACCCTGCAGCTGGTAAGGAGAGGGTAGAATAAACCGGTGGTTCCCACAGCGGGCGCAAGAGTCATCATATCACTCATCCTTTATTAGCGTTTTTAACAACATTTCACCTGTCGACATATATAACCATGGACCATCGCCCCCTGGTGGCGATAAAGCCAGCTGCCTGTAACGTTTGCTCTCTGGTGTTAAAAACGTTAGTTGTCTGGCTCGTAGCATAATGTTAGCCCTCGTTGGGCATTATATTTTACATATTTGCCTCTAAAATGTAGTTAGAGTTGAAGTATAAAGTAGCATAAAATACTGAAGTAAAGCAACTCAAAACTAAACGTATGTGCAGTACGTGAGATAAACTGTCAGTAAAATGTAATACAGTTGACCAGCAGCACAAACTACATCCTCCACACTGATCAATACGCTCCCATCAGCGGGCCCTCGCACTGCCTCGGAGGGGGGGTGCAGTCGCAGATTACAGGCGTGGAGACCGTGAAGCCATTTTCACTACATCCGTTTCAGAGCCTGCCTCCATGCAACTCATTTCCTCTGCACGGATCTCAGCCCAGTCTCCATGACAACACTCCTCCATCCGTCTCACCATCAGCTCCATTATCTCCAGCTCGCTGCGAGGTGGTGATTAGGTCACTCGCACATGGGCTTCAGAGTCAGTCAGAAAATACCAACACACAGTGACTGATAACCACAGGGTTCAACATCCACTGTCACCTCTCAACACCTTCACATTAAAGCTGCATTAAGTGAGTCCTGTATGATTGAATAATTACCGGATGATTACCGAAGTTGTGTTTGTTTTGGTCTCCACCGGCTCTTTCTTTACCAGCTAGTCGCTAACGTTGCTCTCGGCTCGTCTGAGTTTGTCTTTTGGTACAAGTACTTAAATTATAACTATGGAAGCACCGATGACATGAATTTAAATAAATCAATACTTTCGTCTGACTTCAGTAAGAGTTTGAATTCATTGATCTGATCTGATGACACATGATTCATCCAATCAGCTGCCCTTTTCCAAAACAGTTTACAACGCATTTTATGGAAAAGCAAGCACACGTTGGAGGGGTCGATGGCGATTGTTAAACATGAGGCGTAAAAACAAGCCATCGCTTTTTCATACGTCAGAAGAGTAATTTTGCTAATTTTCTAACGGGAATATTAGCTGCCGTAAGCTATTTAGCCTGTTAGCTGACGTAGCTCCAGAACTGTACTCCCTGTCGTCAAACTGACCACCGGTGGAGTTTTTGTAAGTTTGCTAATATTCGTGGTGGACAACAACAGTCTGATCGAATCTGAGATTAAAATGAGCACTGAGACAATATTCTGAGGCTCAATAAGAAATATTTGAAGCAAAAAGTAGTTCCTGGGACTTCTGGGTACTTTGGGTGGAAACGTGCCTCTTGAAAACCAGATCACAAACTGAAGATGAGAGCCGAAAGAGGCAGCCGGTGAAAACTAGGTGCTACCAGAGTCTGAAAGAGTCGGTGGAGTTTTATTTCTCTTGGTTCAGTAACAAAATTATCACTTAACGCAGGTTTAATTCAGTTCACTGTGCGTGTAAAGAAGTGTTGGACTGCAGAGCGGTGAGTATCGTCTTGTTTCAGTTTCCGTTGTTTGTCCATCAGAGAAAGTCCGGAGCTCGATAAGAAGACACAAGTTGTTTGAAATGTTCGCTCAGGTTTGAGTCAAAATGATGCTGGAAATGTTTGAGAAAATGTGAGACGTTTGAAAGGCAGCATTTTAAATCAGAATGTATGTCTTCAGAAGGTTATATTCTCATCCAGTCTTACAGTAATTAATGAATTACAGACACATTAAACAACCAGCATCCATTCTGGAGAAATGTTGCCTTTGTCAGTCCTGAAGGAAGCAGCAGGTGATGTAAGTACAGAGCACTGAACAGGAGAGAGACCTGCTCATCACACCAGCTGCTATCAACACACTGCATTTATTATTTTTAATTAAATCATATTTATTTACAGTGTAACTCACTATTTGTGAATTTGCAGCTGAATCTCATTCAATTATATTTGTTTAACAATGTTTATTTTAACTTTTATTTTGAATTCCAGCCAACTCAACTCATTGTTTTCTCCATCGTAACGTTTGCTTTATTTATTCTACAGATTAAAGTGACGTGAAGTTTTACTCGAATATTCAGGACTTTTTCTTCAAAGGAGCACTTCACTCCACATCGTCTGCTCAGTGAGTTCGGACTCTGCTGGTCTACTGGGACCAGTTGTATATTCAGTACAGGAGCTCAACGGAACCTGTCCAGATGAAAAGAAAAATGTCATATTGTACCCATATTTAACAATTTGTGCCTCAAACAATTAGCAAAAACTCAATTCATATTAAAATCAAATCATTTTGTCTTCCTGTGAAACAAAATGTAACTAGTGCTTACAACTAACTGATTTCAACCAATAATATCAAACATTCACCCGTCAATCAATCTTCAACTGTTAGCGACACAGAGCGAAGGTTCATTAGTTAGCTACAGCATGGCAAGATAGCCATCTGACAGGTTTTACACTTAGGTCTGATTTGGAATCAACAGAAACTCAAAGTTAAAGACAGGATGAACCAGTTCGGCGTGAGCAAATGATGACAGTACTTTTGGAGTGAAGTGTTCCTTTGGTAAGGAAGAAAGGTCGATCAGCCTGTGGTCGGTGTGCATCCACGGTCTCTCCTCTGTCTGCTGTACGAGCCTCAGTCAGTGCTACAACGCTACATAAACGGCTTGTTTTGTCTTGACCCTCCCTCCCTCCTCCTCCTCCTCCTCCTCCTCCTCCTCCTCCTCCCTGTTCACCCCAAAGTCGAGCAGATCACCACCGTTTTCACCGCCGCCACCAGGCAAAAGGCATGGGACCATTTCTCAAAAGCACAGCGCAAGAACATAGACATTTGGCGCAAGCAGTGTGAGGTTGGTACACCTTCTTCTGTTCTCTCCTCCCACCCCGACCCACTGCTTTCTTCTCTGCTGTCATTTCCCCAGGAGAGAGCTGACAGACAGCCCTGTAGGACTTGTTGTGTTCACTGCCCTTGTTGTTGTTTCTGGATGCTTCAGACAGACAGTCAGTCAGACAGACAGACACCGGCCTCTGATCGTGTGAGCCGGTACACTCTCTCTCTCTCCTGCCGCCCAGATGTAAAGCAAAGATCTGACGCCTCCTCGAAAGTGTGAGGCGCTGCTATGGCAACAGTGATTTCCAGGGTTAAGTCTCTGATCAATTATTCATCCAGAGTCAAATCTAGAAAACAAGTAAGAACATGAGGATGTTGTGTATGAAGGAGGGAGGATTTGTCCGTTTTCAGCCCAGTCAGCGCCTCGGGGGAGCGGCCTGTCGCTCCTCGGGGAGTTTCTGTGGGAGCCGACAAATGGAAAATAAAAATGCAGGAATAAAAACAACAACAAAGAAATAAAAAGAAATATAATAAACATTAATATACTACTTCCATTGTCATAAATTCAATGAAAAACATGTTAAAAGGAGGATTATTTAGCTTCCTGTCTTTAAGGAACCAGTGTGGAGGATTTAGGGGCCTCTAGTGGTGAAGCTGCAGGTTGCAACCAACTGAAAACAGCTCAGACTTCCAAGGAATTACGATGGCTGCAAAACTCCTATAGAGCAAGTGTTTGGTTTGTCCGCTCTGGGCTGCTGTACAAACATGGTGGTTCAAGATTTTTTTGCAATGCAAAGTGAAAAATAAAGTTGAGATTTTTTGTACAGTTCATTAAAAATCGCAGGTAATTTGTTCCAGTGAGAATAAAATTGTTAGTAGTTTTGTGACGTACGGCTGAAACTCATGGAAAACTAATTATTATTGGTCAAATTAGTGTTGATTGGACAAAAGGTAAGGTTTTACAAACTTCACTTCGCAAGTTTGGAAGGACTCAAACGTCATTAGTCTATAAACCTTCCCAGTGGGAAACATTTTAAATGCAGTCGTCTTGTTTTGGTGATGCTTGTATTTGAGTTTCTCCTACAAACCAAAACTCAATGTTTTTAAAGTTTTAAGTTTCTTACGTTTGCGTCCATAACTTGCAGCGTCACGCAGGATGGTTAAAGGTCCAGTGTGAAACATTGAGGAGGATCTATTGTCAGGAATATAATATTCAGAGGTATGTTTTCATTAGTTTATAATCACCTGAATATGTTGTGTTTTCGTTACCTTAGAATGAGATGTTTTTCTCTTTGTGTTTGGTTGAGTCACACTTTGGTCTCAGTTGGATGCAAATTCAAATTCAACGCTGGATGACACTAAATCCCAGACACTGGTCCTGGTCACGACATATATAGTAACAGTTAGCTAATGTTAGCCTTTGGTTCTGTAACAAAATGCTTTCTAATTAGCTAATTATCTGGCTAACGATTGATGTAGATTGAGCGCAGAGCTAAAAGGGGCGGGGCTAATGAAGGGTCAGTTGTCCTTTTAACATGTTTTTCATTAAATTGAGACAGTAAATGTGTATGTACTGTATAAATGTGGAATGCATTGTAGTTTATTTCTTTGATTTGTTTTTGTTTCTGCATTTTAAACCTTCCGTAGACACAATCGATCAATCCGAGCCAGCTCAGTGTCGCCACTTATAATATTTCTGGTTGAAAACGAGGTAAGAGACGGTGATTGGCACACAGTCTGGTGAGACCATCTGTAGCATGCAACAGTCCCACAGTGAAAGCCCCTCCTTTAATGGCTAGTGTCTGTGGTAAGTCTACATGCATCCACATCGCTATAGCAACAGCAAACTGCGTGTTTCTCCTCCGAGGAAGTCGTCGACATTATTCTGTCAGATTTGTGCTGTGAAATCTCGGCTGACAAATGGAGAGATAATGAAAATGGCAGCCGTGCAGAGATGTGATTATCCCACAGGGCTTCAGCAGCAGTGATGAGATAATGCAGCAGACAGGCTGAAGCTGTTCTGCCTCCTCAACTCAAACGTAAAGATTATTCACAGTAGAGCTGAACAATTAATCGATTAGTCGATCGAATGGGAGTTAATCTGCTTTTATTTTGCTAATGAAAAAATTATTAAAGTCATTTTTTCTATTAAAAAAGCTTCTCAGTTGTGAAGATTTTCTGTTTTAAATCATAAACTGACTACCTTTGGAGACCGAATGGCTCAAAACATCTGCAAATGAATCCCTAATTGAACTAATAATTAGTCACAGTAGGTGTTAATCAGTCAGTAAAGAGAGAAAAATAACCTCTGGTGAATATAGACGCTACAGAAGTGATTATTACGTATTATTTTGTCCGATTTTCTGGGATTAGCAGAACGTCAGAGCCGACTGATGGTGCAGCGGTGGAAGAAGCACTCAGATACTTAAAGTAAAAGTAGAAATACCATCCTCTGAAAGTACTCCATTACAAGTAAAAGGCCTCAGTTTATATTGTTACTTGAGTAAAAGCACAGAAGTATTATCAGGAAAATGTACTTAAAGTATCACTGTGTTATATTATTCAGCTTTTATATGATGTAATATAAAATATATAATATCACCAGTTTTATAAACCTTCATTGTGTATAAACAAACATTAATAACATTTTAAAGATAGTTAAAAGATAAATATTGAGACACTGTTAGCAGAAGGCTAACTAACTAGCTGCCGAGGAGCTAGTTAGGTAGCATTTTGCTAACATGAACTATCTTTAAATGGACAGTATGTTGTTTTTATCTTTTAATCTTTAATCATCCTCAAAATGTGGTTGTCTGTTCAGTAGATTAGCTTAGCATGTAGCATATCTAAGTACAGGAAGCGATATTTTGTTGTTTTGTTTTGTTCCAGGAGCTGAGGAACGCCCACAGCGAGGAGATCATGGGCATCCGGCGGGAGGAGGAGATGGAGATGTCTGACGACGACTCGGATGAGAGTCCCTGTAAGAGGATGCGGAGCTCAGAGAACGGTACGAAGAGTCTGTGTCGGGTTCAATAACAATAATAATAAATAAACAGACTCTTTGTTTGTTTGTTTACTGTGTGTCTGATGGAGTCTCTGTTGTCATAGCAACAAACTGAATGATGACGTTTTAGATTTGAACGTTTATTGAGAGTCAGTTTTATACCTCCCCCTCTCATCCTCCGCTCTTTACCTCTCCTTTGTTTACTCTCTCCTTCCCCCTCCCCTCATCTCCTCTCGTCTTCCTCCCCCTCTTTCCTTGTTTCCTGTTCCCTTCTTTCCTCTCCTCATCCCACCTTCCTCCTCTCTTCCCTGATCACCTCCCCCATCCTTTCATCTCCTCTCTCCTCCCCTCCCACATTGTCTCCCCTCATCCTGTCTCCTCTCGTCTCCTCCCCTCTACTCTCCTTGTTACCTGTTCCCTTCTTTCCTCTCCTCTCTTTGTTTCCTCCCCTCCTCCTCTCCACTTCTCCACACACTTCCCCTCCCCCATCCTCTCTCCTTGTTTCTTGTTCCCTTCTTTCCTCCCCTCATCCCACCTTCCTCCTCTCTTCCCTACTCACCACCCCCATCCTCTCATCCTCTCTCCACCCCTCCCCCATATCTCCCCTTGTTTCCTCTCATCCTACCTTAATATACCCCCCTCCTCTCCTCTTTCCCTCCCTCATTGTCTCCCTTCATCCTCTTTCCTCTCGTCTCCCCCTCTCTACTCTCCTTGTTTCCTCCCCTCCCCCATCCTCTCACCTGCTCACATCCTCTCCCCCTCTCCTCCCCTGTCCTCCCCCGTCCTCTCCCCCCTGCAGGAGCGTACGATCAGACCCAGGCGTCTCTGAAGGAGGAGAACGACTCCCTGCGCTGGCAGCTGGACGCCTACAGGAACGAGGTGGAGCTGCTGAGGAAAGAGCAGCTGAAGTCCAACCGAGCGGAGGACGAGCACACACACACACACACACACAGTCCGGAGGCTCAGATCCAGCTGCTGCAGCAGAGCATGCACACCATGCAGCAGGTGAGTTCACCTGTTCGTCCTCTGCACCTCTTCCTCCTTTAATAAACAGTTAATAAACAGTTAATATACAGTTAATAAACAGTTAATAATATACAGTTAATAAACAGTTAATATACACAGTTAATAAACAGTTAATAATAGAGTTAATAAACAGTTAATATACACAGTTAATATACACAGTTAATATACAGTTAATATACACAGTTAATAAACAGTTAATATGTACAGTTAATATACAGCTAATAAACAGTTAATATACAGCTTATAAACAGTTAATAAACAGTTAATATTCAGTTAATACACAGTTAATAATATACAGTTAATAAACAGTTAATAATATACAGTTAATAAACAGTTAATAATGTACAGTTAATAAACAGTTAATAAACGTTAATAAACAGTTAATAAACAGTTAATAATATACAGTTAATAAACAGTTAATATACAGTTAATAAGCAGTTAATATACAGTTAATAAACAGTTAATAATATACACTTAATAAACAGTTAATATACAGTTAATAATATACAGTTAATATACAGTTAATAAGCAGTTAATATACAGTTAATAAGCAGTTAATATACAGTTAATAAACGATAATAAACAGTTAATAATATACAGTTAATAAGCAGTTAATATACAGTTAATAAACAGTTAATAATACACAGTTAATAAACAGTTAATAATATACAGTTAATACACAGTTAATAATAAACAGTTAATGAACAGTTAATATACAGTTAATAAACAGTTAATATACAGTTAATAAACAGTTAATAATATACAGTTAATAAACAGTTAATATACAGTTATAATATACAGTTAATAAACAGTTAATAAGCAGTTAATAAACAGTTAATAAGCAGTTAATATACAGTTAATAAGCAGTTAATATACAGTTAATAAACGATAATAAACAGTTAATAATATACAGTTAATAAGCAGTTAATATACAGTTAATAAACAGTTAATAATACACAGTTAATAAACAGTTAATAATACACAGTTAATAATAAACAGTTAATGAACAGTTAATATACAGTTAATAAGCAGTTAATATACAGTTGATAATAAACGTTAATAAACAGTTGATAATAAACAGTTAATATACAGTTAATAAGCAGTTAATATACAGTTAATAAACAGTTAATAATATACACTTAATAAACAGTTAATATACAGTTAATAATATACAGTTAATAAACAGTTAATAAGCAGTTAATATACAGTTAATAAGCAGTTAATATACAGTTAATAAACGATAATAAACAGTTAATAATATACAGTTAATAAGCAGTTAATATACAGTTAATAAACAGTTAATAATACACAGTTAATAAACAGTTAATAATACACAGTTAATAATACACAGTTAATGAACAGTTAATATACAGTTAATAAACGTTAATAAACAGTTGATAATAAACAGTTAATATACAGTTAATAAACGTTAATAAACAGTTGATAATAAACAGTTAATACACAGTTAATAAGCAGCCGAAGTCGTTCCTGACGCCCTTTGACCTTTCACCATCAGGGACGTGTACTAATTCTACATCCAATTAAACACTTTCTCTCTAAAGACTTCCTCCTTTCCTGTACTTAGTAATGCTATATGCTAAGCTAATCTATACATTGAACCACATATTGAAGTTGGTTAAAAGATAAAAGACGTTAGCTAATGTTTGCTATCTAACTAACAAGCTGATCTACATCGGTCGTTAGCTGCCTAGGCTAGTTAGCTAGTGCTTTGCTAATATTAGCTTTCAGATGTAACTAGTTAGCTAACAATTAATGTAGCTTGCTAGTTAGTTTGGGACTAGTTGAAGACTAGTTAGCTCACTAATCTACATCAACCATTCAGTTTGTGCCCGAGCAAAATGTTAGTCAGCCTGGCTGTGTGCACTGGAAGGTAGACTGCTACCAGCTGCATAGCACTAGGTGTGGTGGTGTAACGCACACTGAGCGCTATTGGCTACTGTACACACCAATCAATCAATATCAATCAATAAGTCCCTCCCTCACTCAGCTCCCTGTTTCACAGTGCACCCAAAGTGCCTCAGTGGAGCGGCTGCAGTGTGTTTATGAGAGAAGAGCTGACTTTACTTTAGTTTCCCCGAGCAAACAATTCCTCGCCGCTCTCCCATGATCCTTCACTCCACTGATTTCATAAACCAGCACAGAGAGCTTTGTTAGAGCGCCGAGCTCGTTTGCTGAGAGTTGATTTGACTCGACTTCCTGTCTTTATGCATCTAAAGTGACAGCGCTGATACAACGAGGCACCCGCCAACACACACACACACACACACACACACACACACACACACACACACACATACACACACACACACACACACACACACACACACACACACACACACACACACACACACACTTCACACATACACACACACACACACACACACACACACACACACACACACACACACACACACACACACACACACACACACACACACACACACACACACACACACACACACACACACACACACACACATTCACACATACACACACACACACACACACACACACACACACACATACACACACACACATACACACACACACATACACACACACACACCTACACACACACACACACATACACACACACATTCACACACACACACACACACACACGCACACACACACACACACACACACACACACACACTCACACACACACACACACACACGTAAATGTGTTGCTTACTTCAGACAGTGTGAGCGAACGTCACGCTACTGTCTCGTCTCGTTTGTCAGCTGCTGGTGTTTTTTGTTCCTCGGCGCCGACGAGCCGCAGCGACAAACAAAATAAGTGTTTTAGTGAAATAAATGTTTCCCTTAGATACTTTATTACACGTTTATGATGAAGTTATATTGTTAGGAAACAACAGCATCTGCACCAGCTCTTATTGTGAAATGAGAAAGTAGTGAGCGGGTAATAAAATGTGACATAAATGAGAGTCGTCATTATGAAATCTGTCATTCACTGAGTGCCTGAGGAATAAGATATGAGGCATCATCGACTTCTTGTCAGCGCGACCGAGTTAAATAACATTTGATCGCTTCCTGCTCGGTGCCCGAGGCGTTCGGGTCGGATCCCCGCAGGTTCAATACGATCACTGTTCTGTTCAGATGCAGCACAAATTACAGGAAACAAGAATAAAGCTCGTTTCCATCAACTCCTGTTTAATGGTTGATGGAGATAAACAGCAGGCGGAGCTAACTGACATTCCTAAGCCCCGCCCCCTTTCCCCTCTGTGCTCCAATCACAGTTGAGCAACAACAGTCAACTTCCTCCTTTCCTTTCCTAACATTCTGCTAACAATAGCTAACTTTAAGGTCCAGTGTGTAACGTTGAGTTGGATCTATTGTCAGTAATATATTATTCATAGGTATGTTTTCTTTAGTGTTTAATCAGCTGAAAATAAGAATTGTTACCTTATTTCTACAGTAGCCCAGAACGGACAAACCAAGCACTAACTAACTAACTAACTAACTAAGTTTCTCCGACGTACGTCACAGCCCGTTGTCATTCCCAGGTGGTCACACACTGGTCCTCTAAGCTCAAACGATTTCTGTTAGATTCCTGCATTAATGTGAGGGAGGTTACCGTCTGCTCATCGCTCCACACTTAGAATAAAGTTCAGCTCTTCACTGGAAGTAATAATCGTTTCCTTCATGTCATTAAAGCGTGATTGAATTCTGTCTTAAAGATGAATGTTTGTCTTCCAGCAACTGCTGAGCCTGCAGGAGAAGCTGACGAGTAAGGAGGCCGAGCTGGAGCAGGCGAAGGAGGAGCACCGCTACCTGGAGGGGGAGGTGCTCAGCCTCAGAGAAAAGGTGTGTCCTCCCAGCAACCATGACACCTCAGAAATGGGTCAGCAGGGGGCAGGAGATGCTTCCCTGGAAAGGTTTCCCTTCATTCTGATGACTTTAAACAATAAAAACAATAAAATATTAAGTATTCTGCCCAGAGGAAACAGACAAATTTCTGATCAATAAAAGCGTAAAGCCGCAGATATGGCGTCTGAAAAGCTTTTGAATTCATAAATCTGTTTCTAAACATCTTACTGGTACAATAAACAACCCCCCCACCCCCCAGGGTCGACCAACATGTGCTTCCACCTCTTGTGTTCACTCGTCCTCCTGTGGGGGTAAATCCATACATTTTTCATTTCTGCCTTTTATGGAAATTATATGGAAGTTGATACCAATTTTCCCCCAATCTGCTCCCATTGATCGCTGCAACGCCCGGCTCGTCTTTACACCACAAAACAAAACACGCAGGGTTTGAATAAAATATTAAGCTGGGTCGATATTTTGCTTTGAAATAATGCATCCATCAATACTCCTGCAGGAGGAGGAGGGCAGGAACGGGTTTTATCCACTGTTTAGTAGCCCCACCCACTTCCTCTGTTAATCCCAATATATTGATTCTTGTGAAATATATAATGAGGTTACACAGACAGTATGTTGAACTGCTGCTGAGGAACTCCATCAGTGGTCCCCCCATCAAAACTATATTCTGTTTATTATTACAGCTGGAATATCATTCATTTCTTTAAAAAGCCCTGTGAATATAAGTTATATTTGAGTGTAGGTGGGTTAGACGTTTAACATTCAACCTTTAATTAAACAGCAGCCAGTAAAGGTCATTAATTGTTCTAAGGGACATCCAGCGCTGCGTGTGGAGGATGAATCCCTGCAACAACTGTAGGTATTCGTTTTTGGTAAAGTAAGAAGCAGTCTGGTCTTTTCCCTGAGAGCGGGTAAACATTTGCCCCACATGCTGCCCCAGCCAGAGGTGACTGAAGGAGCCTCGTCGTTGCTTTGGATGCCGACAGGAAGCGCCCGGATAGCGAGCTCGCATTCGGTCACATGTGCCTGAAAGGGCTGAACCACCCAGACGGGAACAGCGAAGGTTCAGGAGGTCCTTAAATCTCCTTAAACCTGTTTCATGTTCATGTCGGCCCGAACCGTCCTCTGGCGGATTTTCATAGATGTTCCTCTGAAGCTACAGGAGGCAGAAATAAAGTTGTTGCTATGGAAACTGTAAACTGGCTGTGTTTAATGTTCAGACCACATTATTGTGCAAGTAGCTAAAAGTGTCGCTGCTTCTTGTTGTGAATCTTTGATTTAAACTCATCTTAAACAAAACAAGATCACCTCGACCCCCCCCCGAGAAACACTAAACTAGCCTGTTCTAAGCAGCTGTTCTAAGGTGAGAGAGCTCGCTGTCGTTAGTGATTTAACGAGGAGGTGATGTTTGTCATGGTAACTTGGTGTCGGGCTGATGTAGAGTTGTAGGAGCTGTCAGTCAGCTGGTGTTTGGTGGAGGAGGCAGATTGATGGCTTCAGGCTCTGGAGAGTGTTTGCCCGTATTTTGGCAGAATATCGGTATTTGGAAGAAACTCAGCGGAGAAATTGTGTTGCAGAAGCTTTTGATACTTTTGCAACTTTTATCCATCCTGTCACCAGTGGAATGAGTTGTTACTGACATCAGCTGAAAACTCCCTGAAGAAGCAAAGTACAACCTTTTACAGCCTTAGTGAAAGTCTGCAAAGGTTTTAAATGATTTCTTTATTCATTTTCCTCAGTTAACAAACATAATCAAGGGACAGAAAACTGAGACAGAAAAGTAATAAGAGCAACTAAAGTGAAATAAAATAGAAAATGTTTAGGAATAAGGAAACAAAAGCATAGAAAATTAAACTAAATTCAAAATGGTGGAACGGCTTCCTGTTGAGTTTGGGGTATGGGTCCAAGGTTTTTTTTGTACGTCTGGAAATGATCTACCTGTGTTCCAGTTTTCATGCGTATCGTGGCCTTGGGGCTGCTCTTTAAGGGGCGCCATGGGGCCACTCTGCCACGCCCATGTGCGAGAGCTGCAGAATACGTAAATTTAATCCACGACTGGCAGGTGGGCCGAGTTTTGGAGCATGTTGCAGCCGCCAAACTTGGAACAACTTTATCGCTCGTACAGAAATTGATTAATAATATAGAAAAAGAATCCGAGCAGTTTCAGGAGGGACCTCGCTACTCGGGCCCTTAATGTCTGAGCAAATGTATAAAACACTCTTAGTGAAGGTTCAGGAGATCAGCTGTATCCCTCAGTGTTTACACGCCCTCACACTGTCTGTAAGATTGTCATTTTCATTCATCATGCATGTGTTTGATGTCAGCGTTAATCATTTATCAGATCAGTGGTTCTCCGGCGTGCCGATGTAACGGACAAACACACTGTGCAGTGTTTTATTGACTTTCCTCTGCAGAAGATCTGTTTTTATTCTCCTCCAACGGAGACATCCATAAAACATCAGCAAAGGAAAACAACTCTCCTCTGCTGCAGAGGAAGTTTTGTTCTCACTCCGGGTTTCAGTGCCACTGATCAGATGTCCTGTTCTCTCTCTGTGTCTCTTCAGCTGCTGAGCAGTAATGTGGAGGCTGTGGAGGGAACCAATGGAGAGCTACATGAAAAGGTAAAAACTGTAGACAACTGGAACAGACCAGAGCTGGATTTTAAGTGTTTAAGAGCAGAGTCAGGTCAACTTTAAAGTCCAGATTAAATGAAAAAAAGATTTTTAACCCTTTAAGATCACATCCTCAGTTATATTGTTCCCCTATTTAACAACATGTGACAAAAACATTCACAAAAACTCAATTTCTTTGTATTTTTATATCAAAATCCAATCATTTTGTCTTCCTTTATACAAAATGTGACGCATGCTTACGCCAGCATGAACTAACTAGCTAACTGCTAATGTAGCTAGTAGCCTCCCAGTGAACACAACCTCTGAGACAGACAGTGGACAGTTGGATGACAGCGGTACCGAGGTGACTTATGGAGTTTACTGATGGACTAAAAGAATCTAACTGTTACCAACAGTAATGTTAGCTGCTGTTAGCTAGTTAGCTCGTGCTGCTAATGTTAGCTGACTGGAGCCAAAACCAGCAACAAAACCACCTCAGGCCTTTATTCCCTGCAGTCAAACTGTCCTCTGTCAGCATCAGATGCTGCATTCAGTCCCAGTCTGGACCTGCTGTTCACTGGGAGCTCCCAGTCCAACAGAGTCAGCTAATGGATCCACTACAGCTGCACATTCAGTGCTATTGGCTACCACGACCAAGTCCCTCCCTATCCTCCAGAAATATGTGGACGCAAACGGCTCTCTGGTGTCGCTTTTATGTGGACTTTAAGTGAAACTTTCTACTTCTGTAAAACAGTTTTAATAGTTATTGGTTCCATAGCTGAGTCCAGGTCCGTTCAATAAAGCTGTTTAGAACGGAAAAAGTTACTTTTCCTTTTTTTACACTTGATGCTTGAACACTCAAAAACTGATCTATCTTATCTTTCACACAGCTGAGTAGAAAAAGAGCTCAGAACAAGATGAGAAGGTTGTTTCTGAACTGGCCACGAACAACAGACATGGCGGGCAGATCACTCCTTGCATATTTGTAGCATATAAAATACATTTTTTAACAGACTCTAGAGCTCTGCAAATGGTATAAATAAAGTCCAACGCTGCCTCAGAGGTCAGAGTTCATGAATGTTGCAGTGACCAGAAACATTAGTGAGCGAGTGGAGAGCGTTCAGGCGTCCACTCGCTCTCGCAGCACTTTACTGCCTCTCAGAGAGCTTACGTACGTACATACATGTATCATGGAGGACAAACTTTTAACCCCGAACCTGCTGAACTGGAAGGTGACTGCAGTCAGAAGGACACGGGTTCATTAAACATGCTGCACTGAGCCGACCTGTGTTCACTGTAAACCCTGGAAACTATTCTGAGTGGAAAGCTATGATGCCTTTTATTAAATAATGATGTTTGCATGCGTATGTGTGCACAGGGTGTTTATTTAAGTGCTTGCTTGTGTTTCTCAGTATTCTTGGGTGAACAGGATGAACTGTGTGTTTCTATGAATCAGTGGTGGATCCAGTAAACAGTCTCAGTTTAATACTGATGCCTCTGTATGGGCTACAGAAACAACACCATCAGAGGAAAGATTTCTATATGGTTGTCTGGGTTGGATTAACCTTCAAATCAATTAAACAAGGCGGTAGAAACACTACCACCTTTGTCCACAGGGGCCGCCAAAATAAAAGTTCCTTGTAGGGGTTGAAATTGACTTGCCACTGCCACCAATGTCTCAGAGCAAAACAACAGGACAGAAACAAAATAAAACTTACTAAAACCATCTTTGTTCGTCTTTCCAACAATCACCAACTCTGGTTTGTTGGAAATAAATCCTTAATTCACCACAATGTAAGCTAACGTTGATGTCAACTCCATAGACAAAAATGGTAGTCTTACTTAGCATATGATTGTAACATCTTTCAAAGTGGACAGAAATAAAACCATCTCTGTTAGTCTTTCCAACAATCACAACTTAGTTAGATGCAATATTTGTGAAAAGGTCTACAGCGAAAACTAACATTAATCCTTGGAGACATCAATGTCCGTCCACTAACAGTAGTTGTTTGTTATTCAAAGTGAACAGAAACAGAATAAAACTCACCAAAACCATCTCTGTTAGTCTTTTCACAAAGTTCTGATACACAAATTTATATTCTCTGTTTTTTGTTAAATTTTGGTTTGTGTACCTCTTTCTGTACCAGAGACTGCTTTGTGTAAGACGTCACAGGCCAAAAGCTCACAGCCATACCTCAAAACTGTCAAGTACTCAAGTACAGTAGTTGAGATTTTGTGTGTTATTTTCCACTGTGTGTGTTTCTGAGTGTGTGTGGCTGCCTGTCAGACTCTGTTCTTCACATTTGGCTTCATGTTTTTGGCCTGTGTGTGTGTAATATTTGTGTGTTTTCACAGGGGATGAACGGGTGTGTACCTTCACTGTACCACAGCAGAGAGAGGAGGGGTGAGGTCATCATGAGAGGAGGGGTTGCATCAGAGAAAGAGGCTGTGCTGCTGGGTAAATATGAGCTGTTTTATTTAACAATAATTCATCTGCATCAGACTTTAAGTGAACTCTTTATCCTCCAATCACAGTCTGCAGGAGCTTTTACAGTCACTAGAAGCACATTCACGCTGTTTGTAAAAGCTTCTGTGTGCTACCTGGTTGTAGCTAGGCTAGTGGCTAATAACACTTTTATAGAAATGTCTGAAAAAAGTAGTTGACTACATGTCAACTATTGGACTTACAAGGTTTTTTTCTGCTTATGTAAGCAGTATTTTTTTGTTTTTTAGTACTTGTTTCTAAAAATAAAATTGAATGACCAAAAGATACACTGACTGAACGTGGTCCTGGTTTAAGTCCTGTGACGTGAATGACGTGTGAATTGTCCTTTAACTTCTAGTATCTTAACACCTCGTCAGCCATTGACTCTGACCAACACTCAAGTTTCTGATAAAGAGCTCCTCCATTGTTCTATTTAAAGAAGCTGCTGGTGTGTTCAGACCGTCCTCTGCTGTTTCCAGCTCAGGAATGATGTGAATGTAACGGATGTGAGCGGGAGGTGAACGTGTGATTCTTGCTCGGGGCTTTCTGTCTCGCAGGAACTCTCCAGACGGATTCTGCACTGAAATCTTTGACTGGAACTTAACTGACAGCGATTACACCAGATTTAATTTGCAGAGAGGCTGTGCAGGGCGCAGTGCGACTGTTTGTTAGCATAGCATTAAAGATGACTGAACAACCCCCCCCCCCATACATAAATGAACAACTTGACACTTTTCAGCTCATGTTCCCGTCACAAACACACTCAGTCTGGTGTCTGGGGGTTCAGAGGGCTTTCAACCAGGCTCACTGAAGCAGACTAAAACCTTCGACCACAGAGGAGACTGCAACACAAACTGCCTTAAAGCCTCTTTTTTCTCTTTGTCTTCTTCTGAGCTCACAAACACACAGCTCACTCTGTGCAGGGAGCCACACAGCAGCTGGACTGAATTCATTTCAGTTGCTTTTGTTTCTCTCCGTCGTATAATTCCCAGTTTACACAGCACGCATGCAGCAGCACATCCATCTGTATTATTCGTACTGAAGCTGCTGCTGCTGCTGCTTTGTCCGGAGCGGGAGGAGAGCGGGAGGAGCAGCAGCACATTTATCTCTCTTAGCGAAACCAGAGAAACTCCAAATATGAAGGAGAGCAGAGGCCCTGCTCTCCGTCTTCCTGCCTGTAATCTGCAGCCTGCGGGGCTGCTGCTGCTGCTGGGAGGCTCAAATGAGGCTGGTAGACATGAGATCAGAGTATGTTCACACACAGACGAGGATCATGTTGATAGAAATTGATGCATGTGCTCACTGCAATAAACAAGCCTGTGTTGCAATGAGTGCTTTGGTGTTTTCTACCATTTTGAAGCATTTTACGTATTATTTGTATGTATTAATCAGTGTGTGTGTGAGCAGACAGTGAACAGGTTGTAGTGTAGCTTTGTTCCTCTGCTGCCTGTGGACTGATCTCTATGTGTCTCTATGTAGGATGAGGGTCAAAGGTTGTGACCTTTATGCTCCCGAGTGCCAACAGTGGGCAACACTAGCTAACTGTAGCTAAGCTAAGCTGGTGTTGTCTGTCTGGCTGTGTCTTGGCGTTGCATTGTGGGTCTGGTGTTGCATTGTGGGTCTGGTGTTGCATTGTGGGTCTGGTGTCGGTTGCTTCGTGGTTTTGGCTGATGGCTGATTTGTAAACGGCGAGCTAGTTAGTAGCATGGAGCTAACGGTCCAAATAAAATATAAGAACATTGCAGATAGTAACGTTATTCTAAATATGATTGTCAGTTATTTTACAGCGTTCAGTCTAATGTTTGGATAATGCTTTAATATTATATATTATTTATTATATATTATATTTTGTAGTTATATAACCTATATTTATTAGCTTTTTTCTCTGGAAAGTAACCGTGGTAAAATCCTGATAATGCCCTTCGAGGTGTCCGTATCAGGTATAAATGGATGCTGGGTCCATTATAGTAGAAATATTATAGATTTAACTACATAACTCAACAACATATATAACACTGGTTCAGTGTTTATAGAGGTTTTAATGCAGGAATGTTACATTTTATAGCTTTTAAACACATTGAATACGTGATAGCAGACTGTGTATCCTTCAAAATAAAAGTCTTACATTCCATACAGTAGCTATAAATCTCCAGCCAGCAGGACGTTCTAGTTTATAAATACAGTGGAAGCTCCGGATCCCTTCAGTAGGTTTTTCTTGGTGGAAGCTGGAAATGAAACTTCCTGTATGGGAGCACACACACACAGCCTACAGTCCTCTGATGGCACTGTTCCATGTGAGCAGGCCTGGTGGAAGGAATTGAATTAGGCCTGTCTGTAATTGCCAGCGTTTCGCCACATAAATCAAGGAAATAAATATTGGCTGTGGCGGGTCCTCCAGGGGACGCCACTCTATTCCCGTACTCCCCTCCTCCTCTTCCCCCGTCCTCCCCCGTCCCCACTCCCTCTGCATGACTGCCTACCTTTGCAGGACCTCTCAGAAGTAATCAACTCAAGAGCGGTTTCTGCTCCGGCCAGCATCTTTTCTGGGTCCATTGTGCCGTTTGTTTACTGTGCAGCTCTTCATGAGGATGCAGATTGGCTGCTCAGCCGGAGCCTGAACCTTTAATATCCACTGTGTCAGCTCTCAGTGAGCTCGGTGTCCTCGCCAGGGAGCACTGAAGGGAGACACTGAGTGGACACTGCGAGGAATCAAACGCAGTCACATAATAAAAGCAATTGAACACAATAACAAGCAGCGTTGTTGTTGTTTATGAATGTTATTGTCTGTCTGTCTGTCTGTCTGTCTGTCTGTCGTCTGTCTGTCGTCTGTCTGTCGTCTGTCTGTCTGACCAGCCTTCTTCCTCTCTGCAGGAATCATATCGACCTTCCTCCACGTCCATCCGTTCGGAGCCAACCTCGAGTATCTGTGGTCGTACATTCAGAGACTGGACTCAAAGGTAACTGTCTGTCTGTCTGTCTGTCTGTCTGTCTGTCTGTCTCTCTGCCTGTCTGTGTGTCTGTCCTCTAAACTTACTGCGGCTCTAAAATATAACAGTGTACATGAATTACATTAAAATGTCTCTCTGTCTCTCTCTCTGTCTCTCTGCTGTCTCACTATCTCTCTCTGTCTCACTGCTGTCTCTGTCTGTCTGTCTGTCTGCCTGTCTGTCTGTCTCAGGTGTCTGCGGGGGAGCTGGAGCGCCTCATGGTCCGTCTACCCTCCATGTTCAGGCAGGAGCTGAGTGGCGTCGGCGCCACTCTGGAGAAACGTTGGAAGTTCTGTGGATTCGACAGCGTCGGGTCGGCGTGACGCAGAGCGCACACACACACTGAGAGGACACAGTGGACGCAGGACGCTGCGGACATTTAACCTGTGTGTGTGTGTGTGTGTGTGTGTGTGCAGACAGGGATGTTGACACTGGAATCTGTGGAGGATACAGATCTTCAGACCTCAGAGACACAGTCCACATCCCGGTGGACCCACAGTCTTCACTCTCCAAACTCGAGTCTCTACTTGGAACTGGATCGTGGTCCTGTGGTGTCTTTGGAGCTTGAAACACAAGAGAAGCAACCTGCAACAGGAAGATAGTCGGGCTGTCCCCCGATTAGAGATTGACTAGTCGTTTATGATATTGATTTAATTCTTTAAATATCTTTATTTTAACAGAAGTAATTAGTCTGATGTGTCAGTCCTGGTTGGAGCCGTTGTAAATCAACTGACCTCCGTCGGTGTTCGGCTATGTTTGGTCCCGGCCGTGATTCCTGGGAGGCCGCTGAGACCGGCTCCGTTGCCCGCTCACCTGACTCTGACTCTGGTGCTCATTCCAGCTTCTGCGCTAGTGGTGTAAACAAACCGTCCCCGGTACTACTTTGACCTCCCAGAGTCCAAGTACAGTCAGCTAACAGGACTGCTGACTAATAGCTACTTCGTGTGTTACAAGAGAAAAGGTTCATGTTGCAACAATCCTTTTGACACGGAGTTTAACGTTGTTTTTCTGCAACTATCTGACTGATGAAGGGAGGGACAGCCCTGGAAGAGAGAGCAAGTTATACCAAAGTTGATCCTTTACACGTTTGGTTATAAAGAAAAACTTCATGCCAGACCTTCATTTCATTTATCAACAAAATGGGACCACTGATTTCTCACTTTGTCCAGAAACTGGGTGAACTTACATCGTTGTGACGCTCCAGGGTTTATATGGAAATGTAGCTCAAAGAAACTCCCACTGGTAAAATATCACAAACTACAGGAGTTTACACACCAACTCTGATCGTTTGTACGTCTGTCATTACGCACAGAAACCAGGAGATTGTTTACGGTAGATTTTGTAAAAATCTTCGACTCATTTTGTGATTTTTTTTAGACTTTTCTTTGTTGTTATGAAATTGTGAGAGAAAGTGAAAATTGTGAAACAAATTGTAGATAATTCATTAAAAATCAGAGACAACTGGAATACGATATCTAGTAGTTTGGTGACGTATGCTGTGATTGGTGAAAGTTTCAGCGATTGGATAAAGTTTTAATGTCACATAGAAGTCACAGAGATTGGTGTGGTTGTACGGTCGATGACAGTTTCAGAGTTGGTGTGTGAACATGTGACCTTATTTATTTCTTAACACCAGACTGAAAATAACTCCAGTGTGAAAACTTCCTGCAGAGATCACGGACATAAAGTGGAGCGGTGAAATGTGTAAAAAGGACAATATGAATGAGGATGATGGAAATATGAGAGAGGATGGTGGTGTTTTATGGAGGATGATACGAGGAAGAGGAGTCAGCTCAATCATTCCACCTAATTTATTCCATTAGTGTGTGTGAGGACGCTGTGCAGCGAGGGCAGCAGACTGAAACATTACTGTGTATAAATGTGATGAAAAAGAAGAATTTAGTTTCCTTCTGAATGAGTGAGGATGAAGAAGAGAGGAGCGATGAAGACTCTGACGAGGAGGAGACGCCACAGATTTGTTGCTTTCTCATTCTTCTTTTGTTTCCAAAGACCACCGTGCTGTACGTCCGATTACAGATGATCATTCAGTGGTTTTTTTATTGCACTTCCATAAAGTTACCAGACTGTTTTGTTTTTCTTATTTAAATAAAGTTGTTGTCAGCAGAGATACTTTAACTCAGAGTGAACTGTTCTTGTTGGAGTTTTAATGTAGGTTATTATATCATGCTAACAGACTGAGGCTAAAGCCAACCGGTCCCCAGACGCTTGCATAAAGGGGTTATGACGATATGTGTCGCTGATACTTTAACCCAAGCTGTTTTTTTGATGACTGCTTTTACCTGAGTGCAGTTTTCTGTTGCTCTACCACCTCCGGTCGTGATTCCACCTTAACGCTGCTGAATCCAGTTCACAGGATGATGTAAACGGCTGCTCACCACCAGCTGGGAGCAGCTTCTGATGTAACACAGGCGTAACACACACATCTCGATAATGGACTAATCTGTGTGTGTGTGTGTGTGTGTGTGTGTGTGTGTGTGTGTGATATCTAAATCTAGGGCAGAGCTCCACTGTGTCACAATCTCTGGTAAACCTACCCACTGAATACATTTTTCTCTCTGACTGCTTACTAATTTCTTTCAGCGACAGTAAAATAATTCCACAGAGGAAACACTGACTCACTAAAGACCCAGAAGTGTTTTTTTGTTTGTATGCCGCTCTACTGTGACCCTGCTAGCGACCCTGCAGTCCCCTGTAGCGTGTTCACGCTGAATGTGAGGTTAATGGAAAGATACGATTAGGTTCGGGCGGATAAATTGAGGTCAAGGCGCATGTTTCACCTTGATCCGAAAATGTGTGCTTTTCCTGAGGCTTAACATGACATTTATGAAGAAGCAAGAGGAGAGAAAACTAGGTAGAAACACATAAACACAATGCAGCTAACACATGTACAGTCCATCTCGCCCATTGTACCAACAGCCTGCTGCTCTGAACGCCTGTTTTTTTTCCAGAAATACATATTCTCCCTGGAGTTCATTGCCCTTAAAGGACTAGTTTAAAACCATCTGAATACAGCTCAGCCTTCAAAGTGAAAGTAAGGTGGCCACAAAACTTGCGAAAAACACGAAAGGTGCTATCTAGAGCGAGGGTTTGTTTGTCCGTTCTGGGCTACTGTAGAAACACGGCGGACTCCATAGAAGGAGACTGTAGTTATGTTGGTTAAGATTCATAGAGTTGGTGAAACCAGATGAACAACAGGCCTTCAGAGAAATTGTGTTTTTGGAATAATGAGCTGTCGAATGAGCTTTCAGTCCATCGGGACATTTGTCGGACTGTTGGGGTTTCAGAATAAACTGACTGCACCAGATGTTTTGTTACTCTGAAGTCGTCAATGGAAACTGGAAAAAGGGCCGATGCTTTCCAGAGATACTTGGCAGGTGAGTGGATGAACCATTGGATGATGAACCATCAGCGTCTCTCATGGATGAACTTCCACCAATCAGATCAACGAACCGTATAACGAAGTCAGACTGAAGAGCGAAAACATCTTTACCATCGAGAAAAGCTTTACAAAGATCGATTCTTGTGTGATTCTGCAAGTGTAGAGAGATTTATTTATTGATCACGATCATTAGTTTAACAGCCGATGGCAAGAAAAAGCTTATTGATTGAGCCAAATGATCATAACTAATGACCCAAAAATCTCCAGAATAATCCACAGCACTCTTTTAAACAAGTGCACTGGAGAGTCTAGTGAGCGATCCTACCCAATTGTTTATCAGAAATAATGAAGTCAACTGTTATTTAATATACTATATATAACAATTTAATTAATCTGAAATGACATTAACTCATAATGAGGCGCCGTCTTTGTAATTATTCCTGCCATCATCTTTAAGACGTTGGCACATCAATTTAAAGACATTAACACAGCGAATTTCATCATTTCTTCAATTGAACCTTGTGACATCGATTAAAGCAGCTTCAGCTCCAACCACTGTTTGTTCGTTAACACATTCTGACTGCAGTAATGGAGATAATGTGTCATATTCATTATTAAATCAGGAACATTTTGTCCGAGTGCTGCTGTTCGTCCACAGGTTTAAGATTTCACATGGCTGCTCCCGTTTCCTCGGGGCCCGACGGGAAGAAAACCAATTTCACAATTTGGGGCAGTGCTCCTCTCCTGAGCAGGGAACGCGTATAATCACACACCGGCCTGTGCAGGGGAGGAAGGCTGGCTGCAGTATTTATGTCTCTGTTAGCTTTACTGAGTCAACAGCCGGCTCTTCTCTCTCTGCAGACCCTCAGTGTTCATGTCACGATTTGTACACAACAGCTGGCAGCAGCTCTGTTTCCCCACATTCACCAGCTCACACTGGGTGCTTTTGTTCGGATGTTGGTTTCAGTAGCAGCATCACACCCTTCTGGACAGGAAGTGAACGAGATGGTAGGAAATGCAGGTAGAACAAGCACCTTCTGTTACTCTAAAATCTGTATCATTTTTAATTTTTTACGTTTTTAAGTCCAATCACCGAACCCCTCAGCAAGCCCCCAGAAACTCTCCGCTCAGGTGGGTGCTGCCCCTCAGCAAGCTTCTGCAAAGTTGGCCTATCAACAGCAGCAGCTAGTTAGTGGTTAACCCACTAGCAACCCATTAACAACAAGTAGCTAAAGCTTTATTTCCACCAGGAAACTCCATAAATCACTGAAAGTAGAAGCTGAGCAGCCGGAGGACGTCAGAGGGAAGAGCAAAGAAAATTTTCACCATAAAATATGATCCATTTGCACTAAAATAAATTCAATAAAGGGATAACTTTGTTCGTTTGTACAGTAATCATTGAGGCCTGGTCCCCAGAAACTCTCCGCTCAGGTGGGTGCTGCCCCTCAGCAAGCTCCAGCAAAGTTAACCAATCAGAATAAAGTGGGCAGGAAGGAGCTTAAAGAGACAGCTCGTTTCATGGACAGTACATATAATGGACAGAGCATCCGGGTCTGTGAAGTGAAGCCGCATTCGTGTCTTGAAGATGCATTCGTTCTAATGGCTGCTAAGTAGAGATATTCGTCAGTGTAATATAATGGTCAAAGAGGTGGAGCGTGGGTGGAGCTGATAGCGACAGGAAGTTAAGAGATAAAACAGGAAATGGAACAAAAAGAAAAATTATGAGCGGCACTTTTTTGAATGAAACACCCAAAAACAGCAGCACAGGAAGTCTTATAGCAGCTTCACACACCTGGAAGAGGAACAATGGCTGATTTACACATATTTGAAATCGTTATTACAACAGTATTTCCTCCAGATGAAAGTCTAAACGTTGTACGGTGACGGTGTTACACAACAACAACCAACAGAAAGAGGACGGGATTAGTAAACCCTCTTTCTGCTTCTTTAAAGCTGACACACTTGTTCTTCGTCAGCTCCTCAGTGTTTCTGTCCTCTATCTGTTTCTCACACTCCCTCCTCTTCCATTTATCTCCCCCGTTCCTTCTCTCTCTGTCTCTCTCTGTGCATCTATTGTTCTCGTGTCTGACAGAAACATCAAATACAAACAGAAATTACAGAGGACGGAGCTGTCGGCTCTGGATGATGATTCCTCGGGCCAGTAATTACTTCCAGCTCCCTGTCCGCTCTCTGCAGGATTAACACAGATAAAATGTTACAAACAAAACTGATCAGGAATAAATAAAAAAACACACTTAAAGGTACCACTCTTATCACTGAATCCTTAAAGGTCCTTAAAGGTTAGTGTATAATCACCTGAAAATAAGAGGTTGTGTTTTCTTTACCTCAGAATGAGCTGTTTACTCCTCTTCTGGCAGAGTCCGCCACATTGAACTGCCATGTTTGTACAGTAGCCCAGAACAGACAAACCAAACACTGGATCTAAAATATATAGATTCACATTTTTAGCAAGTTTTGGAACCACTGTAGTTTCTTCTGTTTATTTCACCACTAGAAGCCACTAAATCCGACACACTGGTCCTTTAATTATCATGTATTCTCCTTTTATAAATGTTTCAGATGGAGGATGAAGAGGATGAGGGGTGACTGGTGTCTTTTAATCTTTAAATATCGGACTCTCTGAAGGTCCCAAGACCCAGAAGAGCGACTCACTGTCAGTATATTTCATATATTTTATCCACTGCGCTATAATATTGACAGTTTTGGTATAAATGTATATAAAAGATTACAAACTTAAAGGGTCGTGAGATGTTTCAGTGCGTTATTTTAAAATCCCGTTTTTAAAGAATAAAAATCAGCTCAGCAGCCAGCTCGCCTCCTCGCCAAAAACCTCTCTACATCCTGTGTGTGTGTGTGTGTGTGTGTGTGTGTGTGTGTGTGTGTGTGTGAGCAGCCTGCCATTAGCCGTGCTCGCTCTCTAATGAAACCTGTTGACAGCGGCTGTAATTAGCCACGGCTCTTTGTGTTCTCTTTGTCGACGGAGCTGTCGAGACGTTCCTTCATATCCCCCGCCGCTGTCACCTCTCATCACCGACGCCTGCTTGTCATCACACCTGGCAGCCATTACTGTGAGAAATCTCTTGTTGGGAAATTGTACGGAGGCCATTGTGGCGCTGCTGCCGGTTGACAGCAGTGTGTGTGGCTGTGAATGAATCCAGAACGAGCCGTCGCACAAAGCTGCTGCAACCTGAAGTAATGGAGTGTTTTTACTCGAGTAGAGTACTGATCTCGGTACTGAACGTGAGCGTTACTGGTAGTCTAATATTTTAGCTTTTAGCTCTGGGTTTTGGCGGAGGTTTCCGATTGGTTGGAACCGGAGGAGCTAATTGAAGAATGGAGAGGAAAGACAACAGGACCGTCCTGAAAGACGACGTACGCGAGGAAACTGTTGGTGTTTCAGCCGGCTGCTGTGCTTTATCTCGGCCTGTATCTCCTGACAGTTAAATCAACTCTATCAGTGTTCATGCGCTTTTTCAGAATTAATTTTATCAAGAACTTGCTCACAATCAGTGGTCAGTGTTTAAGGGACACTTCCTGTTAGCTCACCGTAGCCGCAGGGTGGCAGGAGACAGTTTATTCTCTGTTGTCCTCAGTTGATCAGGTTGATCAGAAGTTGTTATATTTATTAGCAAACAGCTTCAAAATCGAGCTTCAGACCAAAGTTTGGATCATAAGAGTGAGAATTTTAAATCAAAGTTTCTCTAAAATCTTTCTT